CCAACTAGCATCTCTTCCTTAGTTTAACAGGGATTTAGGGAAAAAAACCCAACCTACCAACCAAAACCAGCATCAGGTGATCTGTGAAAGTGCTCTCCCTTCTGAGCAGCACAGAGTTTTACAAAGGACAGAGCCCTAATTTCCAAAGCCAAATTTAGTGAACAGAGCAGTTAAGTACCGAAATTAGGTTTGTTTACACCTCTATTCTGCAAGTGATTTAAAAAACAGAGCCTGGAGGCAATGGAGCAGTTCTTTCCCAATCCCCCAGTTCTGTGGCCCAGAAGGTTCACTTGCTCCTCTGGCTATGTGCATGAATTTCAACTCCAGCTTAAGTATCAACAATGAATGTGCTTTATGCTTCACTGGACAGCGTTCAGCTCAGAAGCACAGAGTAAATCAAGGGGAGCCCCAACGTTCCCTCTCTGCTGTATTGCATTCTCATTCCAGATGCGAACTCTGCAAATCAGATCACCTCAACAGGCTAAGCTGTGCTGTGGCTATAAATTTACCCACCCAGAAGTCTGGCTATTCTCTACTTCCTTCATCTTGGGTACATCAGACAGTAGAAGAGAGGACTCTGAACAAGCTAAAGCCATACTTACTATGTCTGTTTATAGTAAGGCACCTAGAGGACGAGACAAAGAAATTCCATGAGAGCAGAACAAATGCATTACTGTTTTGCTTCTGACTAATGCCATTCTTATATACTCCAGTGGAAGGGATGCTGACAGTCCTGAGAGAAGAGTCGAGGCTTAAAATGGACCATGTAAAAGCCAACAAGCGGCTTTTCTATCTACTACACCAAAAAGAGGAAGCTAGTTAGAAGTTAAAAGGAGCCCCTAAGGAGGTTGAGGAACTTGCAAGCAACATGGGAACTGCTTCAGAACACGGTATTGAAGGCACAGAGCAAACACATACCACAAGTCAAAGAAAATGGAAAGTGGACCCAAAAAAAAGCCATCATGGTTTAATGGCAAAGTTGCAGAGGCAATAAGCAGAAAAAATGTTTCTTTCAAAAAGTGAAAGTTAAAAACTAACAAAGGAAACAAAAAAAAGATCATTAAGACTGGCAAATTAAATGTAAAGCTGTAGCAAGACAAACTAAGACAGAATTTGAGGAGAAACTTGCTTGAGGTATAAGAGGTAACAATAAAACCTTCTTTAAATACATTAAAATCTTCAGATCCATGTCTGAAGACCTGACGTGGAATCAGTTGGGCCTCTGAATGATCAGGATGAAAGTGATGCTAAAAGATGACAGCACCATTGCTTGGAAACTAAATGCTTTCTTTGCACCTCTCTTCACTGTGGAAAATGTTAGAGGACCAGATCCAGTCCTCTCCAGGGACAAGTCAAAGGAATTGACCCAAACTGAGGTTTCAATAGATGAGGCTGTAGAGAAAATTGATAAACTAAACAGCAGCAAATCACCAGGACCTGATGACATTCACCCTAGGGTCCTGAAAGAGCTCAGATCAGAAACTGCTGAACTCCTGACTGTAATATGCAACCTGTTACTAAAAAACAGCCTCAGGACAAGAGGACTGAAGGGTTGCCAATGTGACTCCCATATTTAAAAATGGCTCTAGAAGGGATCCAGGGAACTACAGGCCAGTGAGTCTAACGTCTGATCCTGGAAAACTGGTAGAAACAACAATAAAAAGGACTGTTCAGCACGTGGATGAATATGAATTGCTAGGGGAAACAGCATGGCTTTGTCAAAGGAAAATCATGCCTTACCAACCTACTGGAGGTCTTTGAGGGTGTCAATAAGCAGATGGACCAGAGTGATTCAGTTGATATAGTATATTTGTATTTCCAAAAAAGGCTTTTGACAAGGTCCCCCATTAGAGACTGTCAACTAAATTAAGTAGCCATGGGATTACAGGGAATGTCCCCTTGTGGATTAGAAACTGGCTCTAGGATAGAAAGCAAGAGTGAGCATAAATGGCCAGTTTTTAGGATGGAAAGAATTAAACAGCAGGGTCCTCCCAGGGATCTGTGTCAGGACAAGTGCTATTTGACATATTCATAAGTGATCTGGAAAGGGGGGTAACAGCGAGGTGGCTAAATTTGCACAAAATTATTCAAAGTGATAAAAAGCAAGGTGGACTGTGAGGAACTACAGAAGGATGTGGCACAACTGAGTGAATGGGCAACTAAATGGCTGATGAAATTCAATGTATATAAGTGAATGGTGATGCACCTGGGCAAAACTAACCCAAACTATGCCTACATTATGATGGCTCTACATTAGCTGTTACCATGCAAGAAAGATCTGGGAATCATTCTGGACAGTTCACTAAAAACATCAGCTCAGTGTTCAGCAGCCATTAAAAAGGCAAACAAAATGTCAGGGATTATTAAGAAGGGATTTGTACACAAAATGGAAATATCGTACCCAGTTCTGGTCCCCACACCTCAAAAAGTACATAGGAGAACTATTGAATGTACAGAGAAGGGCAATGTGGATAATTAGCAGCATGGTGGGACCTCCATTTGAAGAGAGACTAAAGAGGCTAGGCCTATTCAGTTTAGAAAAGAGACACTTGAGGAGAGATATGATAAAGGTTTACAAAATATTAAATGGTAAAGAGAAAGTAAATATGGATTTATTATTTACTCTCTCTCACAGTGCAAGAACTAGGGATCACAACATGAAACTAGTAGGCTGTAAATTTAAAATTAACAAAAGGAAGTGCTCTCCTGCACAGCGTGCAATTCAAGCACGGAACTCATTATCATCAGATACTGTGGAAGCCAACAGTTTAGCCCAATTAAAAAAGAGACCGGACAAATTTTTGGAGAAAAGGGGCATCAGTAACTGGGTATGAGTTAGGGGTATACCCTCTGAACTAGCCATAGAACATCACAGACATTAAGTGCTGGAGGCTGCAAGTGAGAGGGACAGTGGGAAAAAACCTTCGTCATATCTAGTTCACTCTCCCTTTCAGCATCCACTCTCTACCAATACGTGACACAGGGGACTGAGCAACATTGACCTATGGTCTGACCCAGCAAATGGCAATTCTTATGTTGTTGTATGTTCTACAAAGTTCTCTCAGAAAAAAATTGGACTGCATAAAAGAAACCTTTTTTTGTCAGAAACTGACACTTAATTTCTTTCTCCAATTTGAATTAAAAAATAAAAGATTAATTTTGATTTTCAATAACAAATTTTAAATATAGGATTTTTCCTTCCTTTTTGCCAACTGCAAAAGAAGGTGCAGAATGTTGCATTTCCTTTGAGTCTCCATTTCCTTTAAGACTGGCATTTCCTTTGAGTCTCTCTTTTTTTTTTTTTTTTTTTTACAGCAACTTTTCTATCTTTTCCAACTCTGGAAAGATAATAGAACAAGGAAAAAACAAAAAAGCAGAAATAAGATAACGTGGGGAAAAAAATTCAGATTTCATTTTTCAAGATAACTAAATATTTTTAATGTAAAAAATAAAAGCTAAAAAATGAGCTTTTTGTTACCTTGATATTGTCTCATCAGGGGAAAAAAATATACTCTGAATGAGAACATTTGTTCAAAAGTATTCAGGGAGGATTGGAAATTGAGGTTTTAATTAACTTTACAAGGAGCCATGATACAAAGGCTCAGCTACTGGAAGCAAAAGTAAAAGGATAAAGATTACAACCCTGCTTATGTGCTCCCTGAAAGCTGACAACATGATTCTCAAAGGCTTTTAGATCCTTTCAACTACATGCATTGAACACAATCACCCTAAATTAAGAAATCTGGTAAGATGCCAGTCCGTAAGGGAGAAGTGTACATAAACTAGAGGTCCACCAATACATTGATCCATATCGTATCAGCACTGATAAAAGGAAAATTGACATTACTGGCAATCAGCTTTTTTTGGCTGATAATGTCGCCGATAAATGCTGTATGCATGCACGCAGCCACAGAGTGCACACAGCCAGCCGGGGAACTTGGAGAGCAGTGTCTGGCTAATAAGTCTTTTGGGAAGGAAGGGGTGGAGGGAAGGAAGGGTTGTGTGAGGGGCAGATCAAGGCCCCTGTGGTGAGGGATGGAGTGGGGCTGGGGCAGGCAGTGCCCAGCTGGGGCTGGGCAAGGGACAGAGCTGCATGGCTTATCTAGGGGGCGCAGATCCCACTGCTATGTACACCCCCGGGGGAGCCATGGGGGGGCGTGTCCCCCAGATCTGAGCAAGAGACAAGGGTGGGCTGCAGGCTGGGTCTGTGCTGGGCTCATTCCAGCAGGGGGGCTAGGCTGGGGCTGTGCGGTGGCATTGGGAAGGAGGCTGGGGGGGCTATGGCAAATTCTGGGGTGGCCACAGACCACACTCACATAGCCCCCCACTGCAGTGCTGCTGCTGCCTGGCCCAAACAGCCCCCCACACTGGGAAGAGCCTGGTACTGCCCCCTCCCCAGCCCACAGCAGCAGCCTGCCCTCAACCCATGCACAGATTTTGGGGGTACATGCTCCCCTGGCAGTGTGCACAGCAGCAGGATCAACCCCCCACTCCCCACAACAAGCCAGACACCTCCGTCCCACACAGCTCCATCTCATGCCCAGCTCTGCCCCAGCTGGGCAGCACCTACCCTTGCCTCTGCCCTACTCCCTCCCTCACTGCAGGGGCCTCAGTCTGCCTCCCCCACACCCCTTCCCTCCCCCTGCCCCTTCCCCTTAACAGACTTACCAGCTGGATGCTGCTCTCCAAGCTGCATATTGGCAATTGGATTGGTATTGCCTGATATGTCAACAATTGACCATCAGTACTGACCAAAAAATTGACTAAAAATCTTTATCAGTGCAACCCTAGCACAAACTTTATATTAGGTGCCATTGAAATACCCCCTTATTTGAAGAATGGCAAAGGAAAATTTCTCTGCTGACAGCCCACGGCCTCCAACCACAGAGCAGGTTGCATGAAACTGCATAAACACAAGACAGGTAAAGACCTACAGATTAGATTCCCTCCAGCCCTTCCCAACAGTATGGAAAGATTACTGATTTTAAAAATCATCTTACCTCAGTGGGCCACAGTTCAGCACTACGAGGACAAATATCACTGCCACACACACAGCTCTTTTCTTTGGAGAGTAATCTTTGAGCTTCTGGTTCTAAACAGGAAGAGCAGATCAGGCACAGAGTAAAAACAAAGTTGAAAACATGTACACACATTTCTGAAGCCAAAAAACATGACCTCTACTATTGCGTTTTACATTAAAAGCTGACTTGCAATAGGGAAAAAATGAGTTGCAGCCAAGCTCATACAAAAACAAATCTGGTCCTTTTTTTATAGTGTTCAGGTCCCATATACTCCATTTTCCTGGTAAATTATGTGCACTAGAGAAAAGGTAGATAAAGCTTCCTTGCATCAATTCTACAGTCTCCAAAATGCTTAAATGGCCTCCATTTTCATCATATTTAGGTATCTAACAGTCAAAGCATTTTTAATCCTTTTCCCAAACTCAGCCTACCTCTAATACCCCCTCATCCAGCTGCCTCTTCAGTGAGCCATTCTCTCTCTTGAGCCGTTCATTTTCCACCAAAGCTGCCTTCAGCCTGGCCTCCAGCCCCAACATGTATTCCTTCTTCTTCTTCCGCGACTGACAGGCTGACTCCCGGTTTTTGATCATGCGTTGCTGTCTCCTTAAGACGTTAAGCTAGATTGGGAACAACAAGTCCGAGTTAAATAGGGAACTCTTACCTGTGTGCAAGTTGTTATTACATCCCCAGTTTCTGCTGTCCTGGTTTGACAGAGACCACCAAAGTTCATCTATCCAAACACAGCTGTGTCCATCACCCTGGCAACTAGCATCCGTTATCAGGACACATGTCTAATTGTCATTGAAACAATGGAAGAGTAATATTCTAACTAATTCTCTTCTCTGTTCTGTATTTGGCCCAGTTTCCTTGGCACTACCTGGTTCTATAATCCTATATGTGGCAGGCACAACTGAGACACTAATGGAGCAACTAACTTTGACAGACCAATTTATGAAGGGAGAGAAAAATTAAACACAGGCAGCTTTTGCCTTTGATGACACTTTAAACAACTTATATTTAGGTTAGATATTAGAAAGAATTTTCTCCATAGGAGGGTAGTAAGACACTGAAACAGGTTACCCACAGAGGTTGTGGAGTCTCCATCCTTGAAGGTATCTAAGACTAAGCTAGACAAAGCTTTAGCTGGGATGGTCTAGTTGGGGATGGTCCTGCTTTGAGCAAGGGGTTGGACTAGGTGACCTCTTGAGGTTCTTCTACCCCTCATTTTCTATGGTTCTATATTAAGCAGCAGGGGGAAGGAATTGTTTGGGGCAACACAAGATATGGAGAACTAAGAATAACAAAATTAAATTAAAACACTAATGCAGGCTGAACACCAGGAAAATACTTAAATAGCAACATTAACTCAAAGGGGATAATTCCAGAGTTTATCTAAAAGTGGACTGAACAGGGTGCTAGTGAGTACATGATATAGACTGCAGTCAGCAAGCTGCACTGCTTTGCAGGGCTTATTTCTTCCTACTTCTCTTAAATAGAAAAGTATATATTGCAAAACCCATACATACTTCACAGGATTAGGCTCCCCTGTGAAGATGAGAGCTTCTGAGGTAACTGGGAGTATACCAAGACACAGTAAAAGGCTGTGTGGGGAACTGGGAGTATACCAAGACACAGTAAAAGGCTGTGTGGGGCCGCTGACATGTTCCAGCTGCTTGCTCTGGCTTTTATTTCAAAGGGTGCTACTTCTCTAATCAGCCACATGGGACCACTGATCAGCTGAGTGGAGAAGCAGCACCCTTTAAAGTAAAAGAAAAAACAAAAGAAAGACAGTAAACAGCTGAACAGCTTGCTTTTAATTTGGCAGTCACTGAGTGGGTTGCAGACCAGGTGGATCTAGCTTCTAAAGCTTCCTGCAGCATGCTGATTTTTCACTTCCAAACTCGGAGGCCTGTGTCTTATTTTCATTAAGGTCCCAATTGCTGAAAGAGGAGGAAAAGGAACCAAACAAGATGTTAAAGACAATCAGGCATCTGGGAAGAGACGCAGGAAAAGGCAGTCCTTTGAAAATGAATGTAGACAGGATTGTAAGAAGGAATGGTCAAGAGCCCCAAAAGATCAAGGAGGATGAGAATGGAGGACTTCATGCTCTATTGGTGCCCCACAACCTTCTCTTTGACACCATACTCTGACATCACACACTACTCCCACTAGAAATAAAAAGAATGGATACATTTCTATTGATCAATTTAACACACTTACAAGATTTCCCACATACAACATAAATAGGGTCTAAGCTCTCCTGAAAGTATTCTTCAAAGGAAAAGGACAATCATGGTACACACTAGAAGTTACATGGAGAGAGCTTGGCTATCCTGCCCTTAGGAACTTCTCAGGTGATTTTCCTCTCCTTATAGCTTAGGAATAGGACCAGCGTTGTTGTTTTATTTTGTTTCATTAGTTCAAGACATAAGAGTTTCTATCATAAGAACAAGCCACAATGAGGTGTACTTTATTAGGGTATCTGTATCTGCTTTTGGTGCATTGAGACGCATCTGACTGAAGGCTAAATTGTTTCTGCCTACCATAAATGTGTCCTTGTAGCCTACTGACTGGCACACTGGAATGACTTATCTTCAAACTATGACTTACTTGTGGTACAGAAAGTAACTTAAAACAATTAGGGGCAGGGTATTTTGAAAACCAGTAGAGTTAAAACCAGTACCATTTATAAATATCATCAGCCAGAAAGTTGGAATAGAGCTGCGGCAAGGGCAGAGTTAAAGTGTTTGTACTTATTTCAGATTGTTCCTTTGTAGAGTTTTTTTCCTAGTCTCCTTAGCACCAAACATTGTACAAACAACTTCTTGGTCATTGCTAAAGTTTTTCAAATGCTGTAAAACCCAATGCCACAAATGAAAAAAATAGGGTTTGGGATAAGCAAGGGTTGCAACATGTAAGCACATGCTACAGCAGGGAATATGAGACCAGGTCAGCTATCCAAGGATCAGTCAGTAACTGTTGCACTGGAGATACAGCATATGTCACATTCATACTGTAGCTTTAGTTTATGAGTTACGTAACAGTCAGCTGTGTTAAATGTTTACTATTGTGGTTTTACTGTATTTTTAAAAGGTCTTGAATCCTGGAAGTCAGATGGATAAGATAAATTTTGTCCCACCTGCTCCATCCTCCCCCCCTCACTCTTTTTCCTCCTCTTTCAGCAATTGGGGCTGTAATGTAAACAAGACACAAGCCTCAGAGTTTGGGAGTGCAGGATTTGACATGACAGTATTTGCTTTAGGTCAATTTAGACAGCTCCCCCTTTTTTTGGAAAAATGCTAATAAGCTAGAGTTGCGGATTTTCTAGGCATCTAACTCTTAAAGCAAGATCTTATTCCAGACTGTTTACTTCTCTGAAAACCCATTTGCATGGCTACATTCTTAAAACTTGCACCTTTCCCTTATAAGCACCCAAAAATGGCAAAGAGAAGGACTCTTTTCCAAGAGCCTAACAGTTATGGCTCTTGTCCAGAAAGAAAAAACAGCAAGGAAGAGGGCCTTTGAGTTCATTAGCCTTCTGAGGTGGGCACTCCCATGGGAGGGAGAGGCCAGAGGAGCCGTGGATTCCAGTTCCTGTTCCCAGTGCTGTTTATGCATTTTGCATGAAACAGTCATTGTACACAACATGTAAAGAGCATTGGGGTGGAGCAGAAAGCAAGGCTCCCTCCCTTTCAAGTAAATGCCCTCCACACTGGGCTACAGACCCAGGCTCCATCATGCATCCGTCCTTCTGGCATGATGATTCCTGCATTTCTTTCTACTCAGAGGCTCAGCTTCAACAGGACAGATGACAACTCCAACACAGCCACAGCCTACCGGTTAGGGTAATTTACTGGGAAGAAGCTGAGGAGGCAACTGCCCTAACCACTAGGCTACTAGGTAAAAGGTAGATCCTTCTGTAGGCAAACACACCCCCTGCCAGGCAGTTTGGATCTTAAGCCGATAGAGGCACATAAACATGCAAGCCAAGTCAGATGTCTGAAAGATTGCTTTTCAACCCTTGAAATACCTCTTAGGCTAGAAACAGACATTCAAAAAGCCTGAGCCTGAATTGATTCAATCTTGGCAGGTTAGTCTAACCTGGCTAGGCTAAAACACTTTGTAACTGTCCAGGCATCCCAGAAATGCAGGTACATGCCTGCAGTGGCTCAGGCTAGAAGCCAGGGGGGGGCGCTAGAACAGCTCTCCCTTCCTTCCACAGCACTGAGCTGGGGGGCAGGGGCATGGCCCAGCAGGGAATTGATAACAGTGTTTATCACCCCATTAAAAAAACATCAGAGGGACATTACCAGCTACCTGTGATTCAGCATGGACCATAGCCAGCATGTGGCCTGCTAGTTAATACACAGACACCTCTAGGCAAGGCAGAGGGGAAGGGGGAATTCCTACTTAGCAGGGACTTGGGGAAGGGAGTGGGGGGGGGGGGGGGCCAGGCCTTGGGTTCCGGGGGCTCGGCC